AACACCGTATTCTAATCCACACTGTAAAGCTCTTGAGGCAAACAGTTATGCCTCTCAGAAATGGTTTATTTCATCAAGGTCTGTCCCTTTACCTCCAAGCTCATCTGTAAAATGAAAGCAGAAGAACAAACACTCTGGCTGCCACAAGAGGCAAGGCAGCCATCTCCAGGGACCAACAAGACTTCCTGATAAAGCATTGGCTCTGAAGGAAAGAGGGCAGCTTCCCCCCAGGGAGCTTTCCAGGTGAAGCATGCACACGATTATTGCCTGTGTAGCCCTGCTTAGTTCAGTGACATTTCTGATGGGCAGATTCAGCTGACTCAGCCTTTAAAAGGCTTTGGTGCAGGCTGTTGTCAATGAACAGTCGCTAATCCCTATGGAGGCAGCTGGAGTTCTGTCTCAGAAAGGCATCAGATGGTTATTTGTTGGCTTGCAAGACTCTCAGGGACTTACGCGAGCAACAGAAGGACTAAGCAGATGATACACAGATCATTCATAGCTGTTCACTTAGAACAGTTGTATCAATGCACAAAGGCAATCTTTTGAAAGCAGAGTTCTGAAAACCCAATGAGTTAATTATGCACCAAATCTCAGCCTCTCACTCAGCCACTGATGACAACAGCATGCTGGCAACTGGTAAGGAGTTCCACCTCGTCCTACAATAGGGTATCCTTGTTAAGATTCAGCATCACCACATGCCAGCTATCTTCACTGACAGGTGACACTGCAAAAAGCATGCTGTTTTCTGCAGCCACATGCCACCATGGTCTATATTGCAGCCTGAATCCCAACTAAATCAGGGACCTGGACAAAAACCATCAAGACAAACACAGACCATTTTGTGGAGAAAAAAGCAAAGTTCACCATCCCTCTGACAACAGCTTCCCACATAGACTCCAAGAGTAACCAAAGTTTAACAAACAACAAAGCATAAGAATTAGGGGCCTTAAGATACAGTCAGCTGCAGTAATTCAACCTGTCTGAAAAGCAGACCCTATACTCAGACAATATTACACCCACAAATCAGTAGCAATACACAGTCAACAAAAAGGCCTTCTGTTGTGTAGGTATGTGCATAATCAGAGTAGCACTTTGATCCCTCCTGCCTGTGCCTTTGTTGTTCAATCTGAACCTGCATGTCTAGGTTCAAAGCCCTGGTTTCCATTTCAAATAATCTCAACATTGAAAATATTTAACCGTCTCTTTGGTATAGGTAACTACTGCCTCTTTTTTAAAGCCAATCATAGAAATTTAAGCATTAGAGAAACATTAAGCAAAAGTCCTGTCTATACACAGCACTGCACTTGTTAAACTGAAGTCAAATCAGATGAATAATGGATTTTTTTTAGTCTGGTGACAACCTTTAAAAAAGGAGAAAAAACAATCTAATTGGGCCAAACCCAAAGAAATTACTCTTAATATTTAAAATGTGTCAATTAAACAAAATTGCTTTGGATCAAACCAAAATACTTCATTTTCTTTTCAGGTCATTCAACCACTTTCAAAACTCTTTTCCTTTTTTAAAAACTTAGATTATTATTTTAACTAAATATGCCCCTTCTTTTTTCAAAATGTATTCTCTCAAGGGTCAGAAAAATGTATGACATTTTCAAAACAAAGCATTTATTTAAAAAATGAAAAATTGCTTGGATGTTTTCAAAGCTCAGGTAAAGACTTAAGGATCCTGGACTATAGCAGTTTCATTAAACTAGTAAAAATATTCTTGTAGATGACTTACATATCAAAACACCCTGCTGAATGAGGGGCTATCTACATGGGGACACTCAGGGTAATTAAGATTAATTCACTAAAAATCTGAACTTCATACATATTAAAGTACATTAAACTATGTACTCATATATGACCTTCGGAGAATAGACAGACATGCATGTATGGTGCTTCAAATCCCACATTTATTTGAAAGACTTAAAGCGGAGAATACAAGTATTCTCCAAAGGCTTTTGAAGATGCTTCTAAGTGGAAACTGAAGAGCCTTATGGGCATCTGACACCTCAGGCTTCTAGTCTGCCCTTTCTGCAATCAGCTGGTTAGTTACACATCTGCAGCGTTCCTAATAGAACTGGAAAATGGATACCTTTCTTCTCATTCTGCAGACAGTTAACTGAATAGTTGCACAAGGCACTAGCTCTGCTATGCACATCACAGTGCAGTTTTCACTTATCCAGCCCTGCTTTCTGCCTTATTCAAGCACCTCTGCCAGCTGGCACAATGATGTAGCACAGAGGCTCAAGACTGTCAAGACGCTTCCTTAAGCGTGCTTTATCTGTCCGAGCAATGCATCTTAGGAGGAAGAAATATAGGAGGCTCCAAGAAAGATGGTCTTCTGTGGAATCTACTTGCAGATGACTCGTGAATCAGAGATACAAGCAGTAATTGGTAGGAGTCGATAGTGCTGAGGTCCACAAGCAGTGGCAACAGAACTTCAGAATGAATGCAGTGAAATTCTGTGAGATCTGGGGCAAGCTGTCCTGTCATTCTAATGCAGTGATCTTGTCAGTCAATCTTTTCAGGCTCAAGGCAGTCCTCAAAAAAATGCTAGCTCTTAGCTTTCACCCCTGTTATTACTACAAAAATGTTATTCTTCTGTTGCAAAGAACTCAGAAAGACCACAACAGGTGAGAATGTTTTTGACACTATGGATTCCTATTTGAAATCTCTGGGTTTATCTTGTAAATCAGGTATAGGTATTTGCACATCTAAGAACACGTCTATATGAGCAAGTGCTGCAGGGTGGGTTTACTCTAGAGTAAACCCACCCCAGGCAGGATTCTACATGTGGGGGATACAAAAGCAGATTTGTATCCCCCACAGCAGCCTGCTTCCACCCCCTCCAGCCCTGCACCAGCTTCCTGCAGCTGCCAGGGGGAGTGGACAGGGAGCATGGGGCCAGGATACAGCTGTCTCCTGGTGGGGGCTGGGAGATTTCTCCCTGCCCCCAAGAGCTGCCTGCCCAGAGCCCAAGTGGGGACAATGTACCCCTGCCCCAGCAGCAGGGAGCTGCCAGCCCCAACTTCTGGATCAAGAGCAGAGGGCTTGGAAAGAGCTGCAGGGCAGGGGCAGGTCCCAGCTCCTTGTCCCAATCTGCTGGTAGGGTAGCCAGCAGTAAGCCCTTGGCTGGGCAGGGCTGACCAGGAACTGTCCTGGTCAGGGGCTCCAGGCTGGGCAGGGAACTCTCCCCATGCAGGGAGCCTGCCCCCAAGAGCTGCCTGCCCAGAGCCCAAGTGGGGACAATGTACCCCTGCCCCAGCAGCAGGGAGCTGCCAGCCCCAACTTCTGGATCAAGAGCAGAGGGCTTGGAAAGAGCTGCAGGGCAGGGGCAGGTCCCAGCTCCTTGTCCCAATCTGCTGGTAGGGTAGCCAGCAGTAAGCCCTTGGCTGGGCAGGGCTGACCAGGAACTGTCCTGGTCAGGGGCTCCAGGCTGGGCAGGGAACTCTCCCCATGCAGGGAGCTCCCAGCTCCCGCTCTGTGATGGCAGAGCAGGGACTAGGAACAGGCTGGGAGCTTGTTTCTAGCTCCTTGATCGCGAAGCAGGGTCTGGGAGATTGTTCCCAGCCCCAGCTCTGTGATCATCACGATCACAGAGTTGGGGCTGGGAACAGGCTGGGAGCTTGTTTCTAGCCCAGGCTCCATGATCTCAGAGTGGAGGCTGGGAGCTCCCTGCTGCCAGGGCAGGGGGACATTGTCCCCACCAGGGCTCTGGTGACAGAGCCCACCCTGGCAGCAAGCGCCCACCTCCTGCTGTCCCACTGGCCAGGTTTGCTCCCAGTCAGCATGGGCGACTGGTGCCTCCTGAGTCTGGGAGGACACCGGCAGAAGCTGATGGCGGCAGCAGGGATGGAGCTGGCGAGCACCTGCAGAAGCTGCCGGCAGCATCAACAGCAGGGGACAGCCCTGTCGGGGGGCCACGTGCCCCCCCCACCCCGTGTCCCTTCTACCAGTTGCATATGCCTGTTAGCCATCTACATGTGCCATACTGCACAGTAACTAATCCTGCGTAAATATACTACTTGTATTTACAGATAGCAAATTTACTTGTGATTAAAGAAAATTACTCTACAGTAAGCGTCTGCACGTGTAGACAGTGACGCTTATTGTTGAGTAATTTACTCTGATCTCAAGTAAAACATCTTATGTAGATGCACCCTAAGAGTGCCAATACTGAGTGGCAATCTTAATAGGATCTTATGGCACCTCAGTGTGCCACAGCACCCTGGCTGAGAATTACTGATGAAAGTCACCAACATGAGAATCCCCAGAAGTTTGGAGAAGAGGGTGGAAAGTGCTATTTTGAAGTTAGCAATCCTCAGTAGCTTCCAGTTTGTCACCAACTGCCTTGGTGTGGAGCACCCCTGGCTGAACCAGCACCAAAGTTTCTCAAATTCTACAACCTATAGGAGAATATACCCCGATCTGCCAACAAAGTGAGTCCAAACTGCACTGGGGCTTTAAATAACATACACAATTCTCTGCTGTGCCCAAAATACAGGTGCTCAGAGGACATCAACTGCAAGAGATTCTTTTCTACAAGCAGGTAAGGTACATGACAACAGGTTCTTCAAAACTTCAGCCTACTGCCTCTGGTAATGTCAGGAGCATTGGCGCTTCCAACATAGAGCTGTAAGGGGTGACTACTCCCTTGCTACTCAGAGACCTACTCCACATGCTCCTGTCATGGTGTTTCCCAGCATCCAAGTGTCCAGTGTGAGAGATTATTACAACAGCTGCTCAGGTGTTAGTTATGTGATATGTGCTTTCAGGTGCCTCAAGGTTAAAGTGGGAGGAAGGGCACCTTAAGAACGCATCTGGATGCCACTGAGTGGGACCTGCCCTGGATGATCATTTCAGCCAGTGCGCTACATAATAACTGCCCAAAGGCTTGTCAGTCACTAACAGACCCAGACTCAGGCTCTCACTCACCACAATCAACAGGTGCAAAGCTGCAGGGCAGAAGAGGGGCACCTTAGTGTGAATTTCAAAATAATTCAGTCATTTCTTTTTTTCCCCAAACAGTTTCTTTATTAAATAACTACAAACACACACTCAGGGCTGTATTATTGGAACAAAACAAGTGCTTTCTAGCAGGGGTGGCGTTGCGGGCAGTTTCTGAAGTTGCAGGGGAGGAGGGGTGTCCTGACAGTGTCCTGCAGGGTTACCCTCACCATGTCATTATGGATGGGGAAGGGTCTTTAGAGGATGCATGGCAGGGCAGTATTCCACCACAGTATGCAGAGGGATGAGCTGCTCTTCCCACACCAGCATGGGCCAGACCTCTGCAAGGTAAAGGAGAGCTGCTCCTGTCCCAGCATTTCCAAGTCTTCTTTAAAGGTCTGTTCTCCCTCATGGGCTGCAGAAGAGTGCCTTATGACTATGGAGCCTTACAGTTGAGAAGGCAAGTGTGTGTGGGAGGGTGGAGAGGGGGAAAGGTCAGGGGGAAGAGCTGGCTAAACAACAGGGCTAGGAGTTGGTAGACTGAGGTCTGCTTGTGGAATAGGTGGGCTCCAGAGGGAAAGCCTAGGCATGAGACAACAGTAGGTAGGGGCCCTTGGTTTGGAAGACACTAAAAGGGTAGAGGTAATTCTCCAGGGCACAAAAGTATGTCTCTAAAGGGGGCCTACTTCAGATAGGGGGGCAAAACACAGCACTGCATAGATGTTCTCCATCTATCTGTTAAGAAGGGCTATGACATACTGCTGGACTTTTCCACTAGGAGGTTCTCCATCAGCATCTCCACAGTCTGCCTCACCATGCCCTTGACCTCAGTGTTGACACGCCTGGAAGATCACTGTACACTTGACCTGAGATATCCCCCTCCTGACCATATCAGCACAGCAGCCTTGGCAGTACTCCATCTAGGGACACCATTTTCCACAGCCACTGCTTTTCTCTCCAATAAGACAACTAGATCTCTCTCTTGTTCTTCTTCTCTGCCTCAGCCTGGCTACTTGCTCAGCTCCAGTCTTGAGTAGTGACCTTGGGACTTCCAACAGTAGCAGTAGGAACAACTGCATGCTGACCCTGAAATCAGAACAAACAAGGTATTTGTTAAATGTGTCCAACTTAAGCATAAACTCCCCAGAATTTTTTTCCATACCATCTTAGGAGCTTTTTAGTATTCAGTCAGTCCCGGCTCCTCTCCTCAGATTGAGATCTCTGCTTCCTGGATCTTTTTTTCTGACCTTCAGGTGCCAGATCCACCTGGAGAGGATGCCCCACACTTGGGCTGCATCAGGACCCACCTTGTGTTTTTCAGGTAAAGGGAGAGAGCAGGGGGCAAAACTGATCCCAAAACCTCAGTGCTCCTGAATTTTGCAGGCTCCCAACATACTTGATGATATAAAACTCTCCCTACATGCTGTCATCAAAGTGGTAAGAGCTTTTGACTATGACCAGGAAAAGACTACACTACCTATTTGCTTGAGAAAATGGTCCTGTCAGAGGACCCTGAACAATGGCAGGGTTGCACAAGCCATGGGGGAACCTATGAGATGCAGGGGCAACCTTCTTATATCACAACCTGGTTTCAAGAGTACCTCCCAAAGAAGTACATGTGCCTTGACTCTGGTGCTAATAAGGTACTTTATTTTTTCCTTGAATGAACCAGCTCAATAATTTTGAGGCCTAGTGGGGGAAGAGGAGAAAGGCTTTCTGGAATATTCTGCTGTTTGCTGCCTGCCCCTTTCTGAAGTTCCCCTTAAAGGGTTTCCTCACTCAGTCGGAGACATTTTGCCATTTGCTGCCCACAGCTTCCTGAAGCTTAAACCCTCCTTTTACCTGTATGTCACATCTGAACAACTGCCCACCACCATCCTGATCTTTGCAAAGCTACTTGCATCACACAAACTGCATGAAAGCACCAAATACTGGTTTACTGCTCTGCTCTTTAAACTTCAAATCTTGCTGTTCTTCAGATTTTCCCTGGCTAAATGATGCAATGTGTGTGTTTAAAATTGGCAGAGATGGTGAAGTTTTACTAACTGTTAAAACTTGTGGGTCCAGGCTGAATTTACCAACAGCTTTAAGCCAGCCGGTCACAATTCCATACTTTCAATCCTGCTGCCTTGCTGAATTGCTTCTGCTTTTGCTAAATCAAAGGCAACTTTGACAAAAACTATTTTTGGGGGTGGTTTCCCCCAATATGCCTTTCTGGGTTCTAGGGCAAAGGAATTTCTCAGGAAAATCTGCAGAGGCCCTGGGACCCTTTGCCAGGTCTGTGTGCATGAATATGTGCTTGGCATCTGTCCAGGGGGGCGGGGAGAAAGAGCAATATTTTTGTCACAAGCATCTACACCCCTCTCTGCACGGAGGTGTCCAGTAACAGAAGAGAGACAAGATGGGGTGGGGGTATGAATTCCCAAGGTCTTGACAGGCCCTAGGTCCAGTAGGGACAATAGCTGACAGAGAATGGGATATGACCAGAAAGCAGAGCCACAGCTGGCCTACAAGAAATTTCCAGGCTAGTCTGAGTTATTTCCTTGTCTCCTCCTTACACAGAAATACATTCCCTTCCTTACACCACTGTTCAGTGCATGCAAGGGCTGAATGGGAGAAGTACAAACTGAGTGTGTACTCCCTAGCCTGTAACTGAAACTAACAATGCACCTTCCAAACAGCAGACTGCAGTGGGCTGTAAGACCTGCACTCTCCTCACAGTCCGAGAGAAGTTTCCAGTGGTCACAATTATACCTACCTTTAACACATGAAAGGGATAATGAGGAGAGGTGCAAAGCAGCCTCTGCACCCCTCAGGCTGCAACTGAAGCTGACATTCTCAACAACAGAACTGGGCAAGCTACCCTTCAACAGAGCCAAAAGCAATTAGCAGCTCCACACGCCCGACCCCCAGCTCCCTGCAGCCAGTTGAAGAAAATGGATTAGTGATGCTGCCAGAATGCAGGAGTGCTACTCACCAATGGGTTTGGTGTCCAGTTGTCCACACATTCCTTCCAGGTGACTGGAGCCTGGGCATGGGAGCATGAGGGCAGGGTTGGCTGGTCCTCCTCAATGTCAGTGCCATATGAGCTGTCCTGCCCCGAGAGCTAATACATCTCCAGCTCAATGGTCCAAACAGCATCATCCTGGCCCAAGACTTGGGCCAGAGTATCCTCTCGGCCCTCCTGGTCCATGAAACCCGAAGTCCTGTGGTGCAAGTCATTCACATGGGAGGGGGGTGAGTGAGTGGTCAAGAGAATTTGCACCATTTTCAAGAAGCCCTAACATTAGGAGCGTGTCACAGAGGGGTCACCTCAGGGTCCAGCAATGGCAAAGCACTGTAGGATACTGGTGGACTGACCAACTCCCTCATGCTTTATGTGGAAGGCAAACTTAACTTGAAGCTTTTCACTGTATCACCCAGTTACTTTCAATATGATTCTAGTTTATTTGTAGTCTTAAACCCTGTACATGATCTGCCTGTTCATTAGAGCCTGTAAAAGCTACTTAAAAAAATGCTATAATTGTTGTACCTGTCTGCACCCTTAGTTTACTGTAGCTTATTCCTCCTAAAATCCTTCGATTGATTTTTCCCAACTTTCCTATATTGCCAAGCCCTTACTGAACTATCACAAGCTCTGTAGCTACAGAAACTGAAGTACTACAGAAACATTCAATAATTTCCCCAAAATTACAGCTCAGTTTTTCACTTGCATGCCTTGAATCTGGCTCTGTTTCCTTCATTAATCGATACTTGTCCACTGACTAACTAGAAGTTCCAAGCCACAAGACTTCAATATTTCTGGGATGAAATAGAAGTGCACTGATATATCAGTCACATATCAGATTGGCACCAATGAAAGGAAAATTAACATTACTAGCAATTAGCTTTTTCAGCTGGTGTAACCGATAATGTCACTGATAAATGCCATGTGCATGCACACAGCTTCAGCATGCACACAGTCAGGAATGTAGCCAGGCAGCTTAGAGAGCAGTGTCTGGCTGGTAAGTCTGCGGGGGGGAAGGGGGAGATTGAGGCCCCCACGGTGAGGGAGGGAGTGGGGCAGGAGCAGGCAATGTAAGGCGAGGATGGGCTGCCTGCTGCAGGCTTGGAGCCAGGGGTTGCACTGACCTCTTCCCGGCAAGGGGGTTGGGCTGGGGCTGTGCTCAAGGTGGGCAGGGGAGGGGCAGGCAGTGGCAGCGCTGGGAGGAGTGGATGTGGGGTGGCTACAAGGAATTTTGGGGTGGCTGTAGCCCACCCTGCAACTCCCCGTCCCCTGTAGTCACCCCTCCAAGCTCCGCTGCCACCTGCTCCAACCTCACCCAGCCCTAGCACAGCCCCAGCCCCCCCACCGAGAAGAGGCTGGCGCTACCCCTGGCCCTGAGCCCACAGTGGGCAGCCTGCAGGGAGGTGAATGCGACCCCGAGACCAGAAGCCGTAGGCAGCTCATCCAGAGGGTGCAAGGGGGACAGGGGTGGGGGCAGCTTCCTGCCACTGTGCACAC